CTTTTCTTTACGAACATATATCAGTTGAAGAATCATTGAAGACCAGGGAGAACTAACTGGACAGCTGCTTCATCCTACTATTTCAGGCTCTCAAGCAGTTTGTCCAAACAACGCCTACCCAAAATAAAATCCGGGACCTATAGATTACGAGACCAGACTCGTCTATCCTTTCAGTCACTTAAAATGTCCTGTGGGCATGTTCGATTACTTAAAGCTTCAATAATTCCCATTGTAGCATTAAGAACACAAAGCATTTGGTGAAGAGGGAGTCTTTTCAACGAATTCATTATCAAGCTGTACAATCCTATATGTATGGTTTTTAAGAAACTATATCCCGTGATAGAAGTGGATCAAAAGTGTGAACACATGAAATAATAATGGTATGACATGTAGCTTAAATATTTGTGATTATAATCATAGTTAAATGTCAAGTAGCAAAACAATCAATGTCATATATAGAATAATAAACAAGATAGGTGTTTAGATTTTTGAAAGGGGTCCATAATTATAGAATTAGTAGGTTAATATAAAACGTTACGTAATATGGTGTGAAACTTGATAACGTAGAATTCAACATCGTAGAAAATTTTTGAATTAGATTGACAAGTGGGAACAGTTCAAAGTGAGGATAGTAATTGTGATAATGATAATAATCGTAGTAATGAGGGAAAGGTACATAGCCTAACTAAACAAACAAAACAAATAAATGTCTATTCCTCCACGAACAAGGCAGAAGTAGGGATTGTACATACTTCTTTTGTACACGAAAATCTGCGGGTAATTCAAGTTTTACTTGCCTGCTAATCGTATTAATTTTACATCTCTTTCCAACGTCTAAACATCCCATGAACTATTATTATTTATTATTGTTCCCTTGGGTTCCTAGTGGAATATAGGGCTTCAGCTGCATGTCTACACTTGCTTCTGTCTTCCTTCTGCTGTACTTTTCACCTGCATCCATCTTAGTCCATACTGTCCATACTCCTCTTCACACGATCTCCTCCATGTCACTCTTGCACTGACGTCCCCCCACTCGCCGCTTCCCTTTCCGCCTGGTTCCACTCGAGCGATGACCTGACGCGCGAGCGATGTCACCCAGCGGCCTCCTCAGCCAGTGTCCAATCCATCCATCTCCACTTTCTCCTACATATTTGTTGGTTGGCGATTGGTTCTTGTTTTGTTTGTTACTTCCTTCCCATAGTTTCTTGTTGGTGATTGTTTCCCGCCCGGCCGGCCATCTGATCTTCAGTATAGAGCGATAGTTGACAGTTGTTGGTTGATAAAGGTAACGTCTGCAACAGGCTGTTGAAAATATTCTTTGTAACCCACCCGCCAAGTTTCTGATCCGTATACAAAAACTGACTGACTTGACGTTTGTATTGAAAATCCGACCGAATTTTGTTGTTGATGGTGGCTGAGTGACGAAGATTTCCAGATTAGATTGGTTTCAGGTTGGTGAATGTGTTAGTTACTCGCCTTCCTGATTCTCACTCGATTTGACATCCTCGTCCGTTCTGACTTCCTGTAGTTAAGACAATGCTCCCTAGATGATAAGCGAATGAAGTAACCTCTTTCAAATCCCTCCGGTTGATGGTGATTGGCGCTTGATGTTTCTGCTGTTGTAGTTGTTGGTTGGTTATTTTCATAACCAACTAATATATATATATATATATATATATATTGGTTGGAGGATTTTATCATGAGTTGACATCAGTTAGAGGACCACTGGAAAACCAGCTGGCAGTAGTGGATAGCCAACTGTTTCGTCATAGTTTCGGGCTCTTCATCAATGTGCACCCATTGCCAGGGCTCAAACCGAGGTTTTCCAAAGATTATCTGACTGATGTCAGCTCATGATAAAAACTTCTAACCAATAAAACAAAATCCCTACAAAACGGATACTTGAAAGTCGATCTGATGCTCACTAGCGACTGGTCCTACTCAGGTAGGTAGTTACTTGGGATTCTAGTGGGAAGCCGTTACCAGTAGGGTACGGTAGGTCGAAAGTGAGGACATTTACTCATCGAAGAAAACATTGAGAAATGGTTGCGTTATGTAGTGAACTGAGAGAAGTTAAACAATTCAGGGGCCACTAGATAGGGTCCCCGTGGCTGCTGAATGGTTTATGAGCTCGCCTTGTAGTCAGAAGGTTCTGGGTTCGAACCCTATCGATGAGTCCCGGAAAAGTACGAAACAGCTGTCTGTTATTACTTCCAGATTTTCCAATAGTTCTCTAACCACTGTCAGCTCATGTTGAAATCCTCAAACCAATTAAACATAAGTCCGCACAAGCCAAATCCTTGAAAATATTCTACATATGACTTTATTTATTTTACCACTTGATATTTAACTATGATCATAATCACAAACATTTTAAAATTAATTGATTAAAAATGCCCATTAAAATTTTTCAAAAAAATGGATACTGAACAAAGAGTACTCTTTTCGATAACCCCTTCATCATCAGGCTCCACCGTTATATATACACTATGGTGAATGAATGAATTAGTGTTATGAACAACATTAAAGTTGCTGTTTAAATAACATAGAATCAATAATATTGATAGATTACAGCTCAATATCATCAACATAAAATAAGCTGAAAGTCAGAAAAATTAGGAAAGATAATATTGCAAATTCATGAATTTATAGTCTCCACTGAAGGCCGGCCAGGGCAGTAGTAGTGGATGACTGGATTTACTTCTTTTGAACACAGAGCACTGGTTGTTAGAGGCGAATTGCAATAGCCACTGGTGTTTGGAGCATGCGGTGCTTTGATGGTGATTTTGGAAATTTATTAGGCACCTGGTAGATCATAGAGAAGGATTCTTTCACGCTGGCTTTGTGGCCAGTTTGCACCAGATGTTCCAATATCGAAATGTTAATGGTTTTCACTAAGCCTTTACTTAGCCATAGTGGGAGATGTTGTCAAGTGAGCACGAAGAATCAAGTTCCTAGAGCAACGGCCAATATGACCCGCCCCATAATTACATTTCATACGACAACAATTATTATTATTTTACGTATTCACACCTTCCATTGAATTCCCGCACCCAATGTAATTGCTTAAAAACCAAATATATCTACGACTGTACAGCCTGATAATAAATTCGTTGAAAACAGTCTCTCTTCACTGAAGATATATTGTGTTCGCAAATGAAACTTGAAAATTACTTTAGAAAACAGAAAGATTGAACAGTGAAGAAATATTTACTTTTCAATTAGATCCTCATCACCCTCTGTGGCTCTACTCTAATATGACACGTATAGCATTTTTATTATTACAATACACAACAGTTTACCAATCATCAAGTGGCACTGATATGTTTGTTAACAATAATTAGTCAGTCAGTGTCAAAATGTCAATGGGCAGTGGGGCGATAATTAACGAAGAAAATCAATACACACACAATTGAAAGGTAGAAATGGTTAGAATAAATTAATTTTACAAGGATAACACGTAATTAAAGATGAAGTAGTCAGAAAAAATAATAAAATAATTTGGACAATTATAATTTTTATAATTTTAAAGGTTTACGGGGAGGGGGGCGAAGTAGTCTGGTTTATACATTCATGTAACGATGGCCAAGGAAGGTAAGGAAAGTGGCTGTACAAATTTCTTCTGAACACACAAGTTTGGCTTCTTCTGGTGGATTCTTATTGCTTCAGCAGTCTGTAGAAGACGAACTCGTAGAACAAAATTAAGATTAGTAGTAATGCGATAGGTAATTTTAAATGCTGTATTAACATCAATCTTATGCTCAGTATCAACGAGGTGGGCTAAAATAGAGCTACGAATAGATCTTGTTTGTCCCTTGCTTAATCATGTTGGATGATGTTCGGAAATACGATGATGAACCTGCCTAATTGTACGCCCAATGTAGCTGGCTCCGCGGCCGCAGTCAAACTGGTAGATACATACAGAGAAGGAGAAGGAGGCAAATTTAGGTAGTTTATCCTTATTTCTTGAACGTAGAACGTATTTTTCTGACTACTTCATCTTTAATTACGTGTTATCCTTGTAAAATTAACTTATTCTAACCATTTCTACCTTTCAATTGTGTGTGTATTGATTTTCTTCGTTAATTATCACCCCACTGCTTGACATTTTGACACTGACTGACTAATTATGGTTAACAAACATATCAGTGCCACTTGATGATTGGTAAACTGCTGTGTATTGTAATAATAAAAATGCTATACGTGTCATATTAGAGTAGAGCCACAGAGGGTGATGAGGATCTAATTGAAACGTAAATATTTCTTCACTCAATCTTTCTGTTTCCTAAATGTCTAAATGGGGATTATTTTTCTATATTTTTACGAGTTGATCAAGGATTGATATAAGTTAGAGAACCATTGAAAACCAGTACTGGAGTACTGGACAGCTGCTGTTTCATCCTAGTTTGGGAATCATCGGAAGTACGCACCCACTGCCAGGATTCGAACCCAGGACCTTCCGGTTACAAGGCCAGCAAGCTCGTATAACATTCAGCCACTGGGACCCGAATCAACACCCAGTTCATGAATTCTAACTTCTACCAATTCGTGATTTAGCTCGACCCCAACCATTGTCGTTGGTGGAACATCCATCCACATACGTGACATCTAATTGGACCTCACTGGTCTTGACTTCTCACTAGACCTTACTCCAGGAAACTCCGTCCATCCTGTAGCAAGTCATTAGCGAGCATCAGATCAATTTTCTATAATTTGGTTTGTAAGGGTTGAATTACTTTAAACTCATCATGTTATTCAATATATGGCAGAAGAATATTCCAATTTCAAGTAACTTTGTTTATTTTACAGGGGATTTTCTTCTTGGTTTATACATAGGCATATATATCTATATATACAAAAAGTAGTTCGATTAAAATGTGTGTGTGGGTGGGGGATTTGAGGGGCACCTGTTGAAATTTTTTAAATAAAAATACTAAATCCCTTGGACAATTTTGTTCATTTCTAATATACAATTGCTCATTCAATTGTGAAGGAGTTGATTAAAACAAACGATAAATCATAATGAAGGGTATTATGAAGAAATTGATCAAATGCTTATTCAAACCTGATCGATACGCTGATAACTAAAAGTTTTTAAAAAAAAACCAAAAACAAGACATAGATATTAATAATAAATTAAATTTGATTAAAAATATTCATTGAAAAACTCGAAAAAATGAGACCGGTGAACAAAGAATATTCTTTTCAGTATCGGTTTGTCAGAGATTTCGATTTGATTGCTTACAGGAATTTATCATGAGTTGACATCGGTTAAAGAAACATTGGACAACCAACTGGAAGTGTAACAACAGAAGACAAGGGCCAGGCAACAGATCGTTTTATTATGAAAATCAACACGTATTTATACATATTTCACATACATTATTATAGCTTATGCAAGTACACAAGCGCAGTCATCTGATTGGTTGTTTATCAGAAGTTAGGCAGACAAACGCAGGCTTCTGATTGGTTGTTTCGGGATTCCTCGACAAATAGAGTTCTCTATCTGCGAATCATATTTTGCCACGTTAACTTTGCTGTGATTGGTTGTTGAATCAGCCTTGCTCATATTTTCTCACGGCCTGCTCTCACCACAGAAGTAGTGGACAGTTGTGGCTTATTAGTCTACCAAGTCACTAGCCTTGTAACTAGAAGGTTCTGGGTTCGAACTCCTAGCCGTGGGTGCACACTAATGAAGAGTCCCAAACTAGACGGACGAAAGAACTAGCTGTTCAGTACTCCCTGTTGGTTTTCCAATGGTTCTCTAATTGATGTGAGCTCGTGATGAAATCCTGTAACGAATATTCTTTCTGATGAGTTATTCTTCATCAGGTTTTACAGTTATATCTCCATAATAAATAAAGGATTGATAACTAGACAAAGATTGAACGGTGCTGTGGTTAAACAGACTTTTTATGCAGCTAATATCATAATAATAGAGAATGTAAAGCCATGCTTAACTGTATTGCATGTTGTTGTAATGTATTGTTGTTGTCGCTTTTTGCTCTTATCGCTGTGAATTATTTTCCTTTTGCTGGTGTTATTCTGATTGTTTTATCTCTTGTTTTCCAATTTTAAGGGGACCAACCCAAAAGGTCGCTTCTCTCTAAACTTTATCTTAATGTAACAATTCCTTTCTCAGGCGTGAGACTAGCAACCCCACCCTGTAAACAAAGCTGCTACAGAAACTTCAGTCCGATGAATCTCTTTGCGCCAAAAGAAAAAATCTGTGTGGGGACATGGAAAGTCTGAACTATGTACGAGATTGCAAAAGCTGCTCAGATCGCAAACGAGATGAAAAGATACGGAATCCAAGTACTGGGAATATGTGAAAGCAGATGGAACGGGAATGCACTCAGCAAACTGTCAACAGACAACTACAGGCAGCAATGGACAATACTCCAGCTGGCGACATTAAAATACTAATAGGAGACATGAACGCCAAACTGGGACCAGACAACACAGGAAGGGAACTCACCATGGGTAGAGAAGCTCTAGGAGAAATGAATGAAAATGGAGAACTCTTAGCCGACTTCTGCGCCTTCAACGAACTAGTGATTGGTGGTAGCGTATACAAACACAAAGATATCCACAAGGCTACATGGGTGTCACCAGATGGGCAAACCAAAAACCAAATCGACTTCATCTCAATGGTGCTCAAGGAAGTGGAGGCGCAGCCTACTGGACACAAAAGTAAGAAGAGGGGCAGACGTTGGCTCAGACCACTATCTGGTACAAGGGACAATCCAAATCAAATTAAAAGCTTTCAGGGAAACAGGAGCTGCAGATAGACCACAAGCCAAGTTCAACACTCAAAAGCTGAAGGACCAGGCTACAAAGGACATCTTCATTACAAGCGTAAGGAACAAGTCCGAGACACAAATCAACACTAGCGAAGAGGTTGGCGTCTAAAAGCACTGGGACAACTTGAAAACGGTGTGGAGTCAAACCTGCATGGAAGTCCTAGGCAGAAAGAAGAGGCAGGACAAATAGCGGCTCACTACGGACACTTGGAAACCAATAGAAGAGAGAAGGATAGTGAAACAAAAGATTATCCAGTGCAACGACGAGCAACAAAAACAGGAGTTGAATTCAAGCTACTATACACTGAACAAAAGAATAAAGGAGAGTGCCAGGGAAGACAAAGGAAAATATTATGAAACCATGGAAAGTGAAGCAGAACAAGCTGCAGGCAAAGGAGACCTCGCCACACCCTACCAAACAACTAGGCACCTATCGGGCAAAAGTTCGACACAGATTCAGCCAATAAAGGATGACAATGGAAAGTCAATCACCTAAGAGGTGGGACAAAGAAAACACTGGGCTGAACACTTCAAAAGACTTCTAAATCGACCACCACCTACAACACGCCCAACAATACCAACAACGGAAGCAGAACTACCAGTGAACATCGACCCTCCGACGAAATCAGAGATCCTGAATGCAACCAAGATGCTAAAAGCCGGAGAAGCAGCAGGACCAGATGGAATCCCAGTAGAAGCATTGAAAATGGACCCAGAAACAACAGCGGACTTGATGACACCACTGACACCACTACTGGAGAAGGTGTGGAAAGAGAGCAAAGTGCCCGAGGATTGGAAGAAAGGATACTTATTCAAACTACCAAAGAAAGGAGACTTAAGTCAATGTAAAAACTGGCGCGGAATTATGCTTCTGTCCATTCCAAGCAAAATACTAAGCCGCATCATCCTGCAGAGAATCAAACAAGCCAAACTGGATGAAAAACTTCGACCGGAACAGGACGGATTCAGGAGAAACAAATCACGTATTGATCAAATCGCCACTCTACGAATCCTCATTAAACAAAGCTTGGAATGGCATTCACCTCTCTATCTCAACTTCATCGACTTTGAAAAGGCCTTCGACAGTGTCGATCGAGAGGTCATTTGCAAACTACTTCACTACTACCAAAGGGGGGCCATCGACAATTATACATCTCATCCAACAGTTATACGACAATGCTGCATGCCATGTAATCCACAATGGGAAACCTACGGAAGCCTTCGGAGTAAGGACGGGAGTGAGGCAAGGCTGCCTATTATCACCAATGATTTTCCTGATTGCAGTAGATTGGATAATGCGACAGACAGCGGTGGATAGTGAGGAAACAGGCATAAAATGGACTCACAGAAAAAACTTGGAGGATCTGGACTTTGCTGATGATATATGTCTGATTTCCCACACACTGGAAGATATGCAAGTGAAAAGCAACAAGTTGGCAGAAGAAGCATCCAAAGAAGATAGGACTTCAGGTGAACATAGATAAAACAGAGGTGATGAAGATTCCTGACTAACACCAACAGCAACAACAACAACAGTTAACAATCAGAATAAACGGGAAGAACCTGAAAGAAACAACCTCCTTTACCTACCTAACTACCTACCGGGGAAGCATCGTTTCAAACTACAGGCGGATGGGCCGATGAGGATTTCAAAGCGAGGATCGGGAAAGCAAGACAAGCTTTCATTACTCTCAAGCCTGTGTGAAGATCAACAGCACTCAGCATAAAAATCGAAATAAGATCCGGATTTTCAACTTCAATGTGAAGTCAGTGCTACTACACAGATCAGAGACAAGCCGCTTTACTAAGGTCACTTCGAACAAACTACACATCTTCATCAACAGCTGTCTTTGCTCAATACTACTCAAGATCAGATGGCCGACCAGAAAAGATCAGCAACAGGAATCTCTGGCAATGAGCGAACCAACCCAGCAGGAAGTATTTGTGCAACAAATATGGAGGAAGAAATGGAGGTGGATTGGCCATACTCTGAGAAAACAAACCACCAAGTGATATCACACGCCAGGCCGTTACTCGAATGGAACTCGAATGGGAAGCGGTAGGTTGATCTTCAGCGAGAGGGTGACGTTGAGGAGGTCCTGCAAAGAAGAGATGAAAGCATGTGGGCACACGTGGAGCCAGGTGAAAACGTTGGCAGAGAACCGAAGGCAATGGTGACGTGAGGCTGAAGCCCTATGTTCCTCTAGGAATTAAAGGAAACAATAATAATATTATAATAATAGGTTCTGAGTGTAGCATAATGCTTCAGCAGCACATCTGTACTTTCTCCTATTCTCTGTGGTCCTCTTCATCTGGCACTCTGGTCACCCATAGTCTCTAATCACTTCTTTGCACAATCTCCTCCATGTCACCCTTGGATCAAAACCCAACTCGTCGTTTCCCAATCGAGTGAAGACTTGGTGTTCGATGTCACTCGACTGTCTCCTCAGTGTATGTTGGATTCATCTCTATTTTCTTCCGCGTATTTGTTCTTGACCTGGTACGGAACTCATAAATTTATAAATGTTGTATTATATCACACCATTTAGGTATGATCATTCATCCCATGTGTATAACGTCCCCCACTCCTTATAATGGCACATTATAAGCAAACATTTGATTCTTAAGTTTAATTGTATGGAGGATTTAATCATGAGCTGACATCAGTTAGAGAACCACTGGAAAACCTGGGAGTACTAGACAGCTGTTTCGTCCTAGTTTGGGACTCCTCAGCAGTACGCACCCACCGGGGTTTAAGTTTAATTATCTTTCTTGCCTTTTATTGACTGAAACAAAAATTTTTAGCTTCTGTCGACATGTCGGTGCTCCTAATACGGATGGATATTGGTATTAGATGGTTGGAGGCAATCGGCCACAGGAAGCCTTGGACCTAGGTATCATGCTGGTCGGAACTCGCCAGCAAGGCATATATCTGCAACATCGAAGGAATTGATGTCCCCTCTGACTGACAGAATTCAGTCTACATCAAAGATAGGACTAGACAAACAAACACACACATTACACTAGTTACTGACTAGTGTTCTATCAAAAACACCCTATACAGTCTTACAGGAGGTTAATCGCGAGCCTGAATAGCTCAGTGGTAACGTCTCTGACTGCAGCATTGGGTGACGCGGGTTTGAATCTCAGAAGCGACATGAGTTCCTTCAAGGCAGTTGCAGGTATGCCTTGCTGACAAGTGCCAACTAGCACGAAACCTAGGTCAAAGGCTTCCTGTAACCGATTGCCTCCAAATATATAGTACGAAACGACAACTTATCCACCCAAATAGTTTAGTTGATAACACATCGGCGCATGAAACTATAGGTACTGGGTACGAGTCTCAGTAAGTAGACCATCACTAACTGGGGAATGGAGGTACGTCCAGTTGACGAGTCCCTAAGATAAGACGAAGTGCGCCTCCTTGATCCCACTGCTAACTACTATCAGCCAAATAACGGACATTTTTATTTTCTTAATTAATCCGTAACACTTGAAAACCAATGAGATGCTCACTGGCGACTGGCCCTATTCAGGTAGGTAGTTACCTGGGTTCCAGTGGAAAGTCGTGACCAGTAGGGTGCAGCAGGTTGGGTGTGAGGACAAATACTCGCCGAAGACATTGGCTAGCGGTCGCGCTATGTCGTGAATTGGCAGAAGTTAGAATCCAAGGACCATTGGATCGAGTCCCAGTGGCTTAATTGTCCACGAACTACCTCGCCTTGTAACCAGAAGATCCTGGGTTCGAATCCCGGTGGGTGCGTACTGCTGAAGAGTCCCAAACTAGGACGAAACAGCTGTCCAGTACTCCCAGGTTTTCCAATGGTTCTCTAACTAATGTCAGCTCATGATGAAATCCTGAAACCAATCAAATCCCTACAAACCAACACTTGATAAACCGTTACTATTCACTTACCCACTGACAGGCATATACACGTAATCTTCTACTCCACTTCCTCTCATCGTTTTTCTTATTATTATTATTCATCCATAGGAAGTTTTTTGAAATCAGTGTGAATAAATTTCAGTTTGATTATGAGTCATGAGCATTCACTACTATATATATATGGTAGGGAAGACCCCCAACATATTGCAGACAACTCGCAAAATATTGCTTTGTACAGCTACTATTCAAACAAGCCTCAAGGAGAATAGTCGTATTCATTATAACTCGCCGGATCATTGAGACAGAGAAGCTGGATGACATCAGAGAGAAAACCTGAGACTATGACTACACGTAAAAAGCCTCTATTTATTAAGTCACAAGTTAATGGTGACTTATCAAGTGAGATTTTATTCCGAAGACTTTTCAAGAGTATACGAAGAACGTTTTACGCAGCATAACTATGTTTGTCATTCTCATGGCCGACGAATGATTGGGACGCAAAAGAAGGATAGGCTGGTAGATAGTTTTGCCACATATATGTGCATTTATCAATTCAACTGCACCAGCGGTGACAGTTATGTTGGGCGTACTACGAGACAGCTTAGTCAACCAGTGTGTTACTGAACATCTCCCATCGTGGTGGTTTGGCAAGGGACAGACGAAAACAATCCGTAGCTCAATTTTGTCACATTTTATTGATAATGGTCATGTAGTGCAGAAAACGAGAACCTTCAAAGTAATCCATCGTATCCCATCGAATCTTTCCAATAGACTTCGTATTCGTCTATTGCACCCACACAGCTGAGGCGGGCGATAGGCATTCGAACTATTAAACCTAAACTATGCCTTCATTCAAAAGAAGTTTGTGCAGCCATCATCCCTCCTTTGTTGACCTATTAATACCTAACCAACTGATGACTTCTCCACCACCACACCTTATTTGTGGTGGCACAGCGGTTAGGACTCTCGCCGACCATGCACATGACCGACTCACACTTAATATCAATGATCGGCCTGCAAAATTTGGGCTACCGATATCAAATGCTGAAAACCTCATACTTGTACCAAAAATACAGTGTGAAATCAAGCTATAATCAAAATTTTTAAAAAATTAATTAAAATTCTTATCATCCCTTAATCTTATCACATCTTTGTTAAAAACTTGTTTCATTTACCTTCCTTACAATCTAGCATTACTTAATCGGTCCATTTGTTTGTTGAATCAAGCTGTTTTTCGTTATTCGTGTTATCACAGATCGCCTCACTTTTTCATCCTCATATATATGCATAATATACTCGTTGTTATTTATCTGTTCGTGTGTACCTCTTGCAATTTTGATTTCATTGGTTCGATGTTACTTAAAAGGCACATTATAATGATGTCAGCAACAATTATTCCTTAACTGATAAGGATGCGTAACTTTAGAACCCGATGAAGAAATTATCAAAAAGAACATATTATTTTAGAGTGCAGAAAGTTGAAAAGATACCGAATGAATAAGATTTATTAAAGGACGTCTTTCGTAATTCAAGAAGTTATCAAATGAATTTTCTAACAGTTGTCGAGTGTTTATGGTATTTAATTGAATTTTCGATTTCCCCGTCGATTGATTGGACCGAAGTGCTCGGTCCCAGGTTGACATGTCGGCTTCTTGTGCAGATGCCTCGACAGTGTCTGGGCATGTAATTAGAATTTAATTGGTGGATGGTGACTAGCAGTGGAATCCAGGATAATGGGCATTTCGTCCTATTTGGGACTCGTCAGCTATCTGGATGCGCCTGCATTAATATGACCCGTTGTACAAGAGGTGATTGTCGTGTCCCAAGTGGTCTATTGGGTAACGCTTTGGTGTTTGAAACTATGGGCACTGGGTTCGAGCCTCGGTAAGAACATCATCACTCACTGCGGAGTGCAGGTACATCCAGATGATGAGTCCCAAATAAGACGAAATGCGCATCCTAGGTTGATTCCGCTACTGGTCACCATCCACCAATTAAATTGTTATGTTCCCTGAGTTGGATGGTTTCACTGTCATCCTAGACAATAATAATCAAAACTTTGAAATTAAATCATTCAGACCAGCAACAAAAGAAACCTCCATCTGAAATATAAATCTTCTTCAATATTTAACAATATATGTTCGAATTTTACACAACCATGAATGATTGCGGACTGACATCAGTTAGACGACGGCTTAAAATCAGGTGGTACTGGATAGTTAGTTAGCTGTTTCATCCTGGTGTTTGAGACTTTTCGGCAGTATGCATTCCATTTGCATCCCCAGTGAGACATACAGCTTCAAAATTCAAAGTTCAAATAACACTCGTGTTGTTTTGTTTTACGAGACGGAGTTGCTAGCCTCACCCTCAACCTTCTTACATTTCCGGAGTTTCCTACAGTCTAGTAAACTAGGTGAGGTTTAAAAGTGCATCATCCGGGAATCGAACCCGGATCTATGACATGGTTAGCAGGCATTTTACCCTTAAACCACTTTGTTTTAACAAAATCTGTTTACTTACTGTTGCGTAATAATTGCATAATTCCCCTTGACAACATTCTACACATCTCCAGTCCATATACCATTCACGTTGACAAGTTTTCCCAGCAATCTTCTTTTGTCTTTCACATTCTTCTGTTGAAATACACGCTTTCCATAAGAAATGAGTACGATCACCCATAGGTGACCAGTATGGTGGAACTGTAAGTCAATAGTGAAGTTAAAAATCATAAGGACTATTAACCACTTTAAAATATAAAAACTGAAACAACTGGTTCCTTTTGTCAGCTTTAGCATAGAAAGAATGATGGTACGAACTGATTTTATTTCGTGGATTCTCTGTCTTCAACTGCCTACATCCTAAACAAAATCAATTATAAATTACAAAATGGCGTCTGAACATTCTTTTCACAATGACTTAGAGTTATAGATAGAAAGTATAGGTAACATAATTCCAAAGATGATTTAAGTATGATGAGAACTGTCTGCAAGCCAAAATTGTATACAACAATCTACGCCAAGGTTTACGTCCCTAATCGGGGTTAGGAGAGAAAACACGAACAAAGCTTAACCTTGAGGAACTCAACAACCAATCACAGCAGCACAAACCATTGCTCATAATCATATCAAGTCACTTACTCACACAACCTTTTTTACTTTATTTATATACATGAGTGGAATTGATGATTAGATATTGGAATAAAAATCATTATAGGATAATGTACATCTAGAATTATTAATATGATGTGTTATTGACCAATTGCAATCAGATGGGAAATAAAACGAGTGTTTTTACAGTCATAATGTTATTTCTTAGAATGTTGTGATGTGTTTGAATTGAAATAGAATTTTGTGATTATTTACTATCCTCTTCTGATTTGACCGGCTGTAATAATATCTTCCATATTTCTGGTATTTGCAATGAGTCATTTCTGTTGCATGTGTTGGGTGTAGACTCGATGAACAAGGATTCAGTAATCAACCTCTCTCTCCACCTACCTATATTACTTTTTAGAATTTCAACCCTCTTTCACCCTATTGTGTGGTTGTGTGTTAATGCATGTAGTGCAATAGCTGAGCTTTTTTCTAAATTACTTATCTTTTCAGGGTCAACCATTCTTACCTTAGCTAAATTCTTATATTCTGACAATCTGAATACCCCTGACCTACTAGTTTGACCTATGTAGTTGACCTCACAGTCATTGCAGGGTATTTTGTAAATTATATTATTTTGTCTAATTGGGTCCAGCGGATCCGTCAACCTACAGAGCTTGTCCCTGAGTGAGTTTGTAGGAGGGTTTGAATGCCACCCTAATTCCTGCTTTATTAAGAATCCTACGTAGGGCCTCAGATGTCCCCTCTTTATATGGTATAACAGTAAGTGACTTATATTCTCTCTTACTTATGTTATCATCACTAGTTCCACAATTATTTTTCTTTTGTTTTTGGCCTTTACTGATCTTCCTAATGAATTTATAGGATAGTTATTCAACACCAACGCTTCTTCTATCTGTTTTATTTCATCATTTAGGTCTTTTTTGTGCTACTTAGTGCCATTGCTCGCTCGGTTTGTTAAACACTTAACTAAGCTTGCCTTGACAGTTAACGGATGAGACGAATTAAAGTCTAAATATCTATTAGAATGCGTTGGCTTTCTATAAACACTAGTGTGTAGTTTGCCTTCTTCTATTCGTTTTATTTTACAATCTAACATCACAGCTAATTCTCCTTGTTCGTTTTCTGATTCAAATGTGAATTTTACTCCTTCTGCTTGTGAGTTTATTTGTGTTAAGAAGCTAAAGATATGTTCTGTTTTTAACACTGTGAGTAAAAGTGTCATCCACATATCTCCACTATATTTTTGGAGTAGGATTAAATGTATTGAGAGTACTATTTTCCCAGCTGTCCATAAATATGTCTGCTACGATAGGGGATATTGGTGATCCCATTGCTAAACCTTCTGTTTGTCTATATGTTTTGCCTTGGAATTAAAAGATAGTAGATGTGAGGCATAACTAAATTCTTAAAATAATTTCTTTAATGGGCAGCTTTGTCCTATGATTGAGTTCATGATCCGCACTCGTCGTATTTCCCATCTAATTTTAATTGATTAATAACACTCGTATTATTATTTCTGAATGTACATTATCTCTCATTAATTGTTATTCAATTGTCTAAGCAATTTTACCCGTGTATATAAATGAAAGAAAAACGTTGTGTGAGTAACTTGATATGATTATGAGCAATAGTTTGTGCTCGAAACGTTATCAGTTAATAATACTGTGTAACTCTGTGTGATTTATCAAAATAAAATCATATCCATAATGGAGTTATACTCTACCACAGTGTCCAAGTTTTTTTTACTTATATCAATCAAAGCAGACTTAACGTGGGCAGAAACGATTCACAGACGGGACTGTCTAAAAGAACGGCCACAAAGAGAATGACAGAATAACCTTCAGCAAAAAAAACAACCAATCAGAAGACCTTGTTTCTCCACTAACAACAATGATTAGTAATGTGCATAATAAACCTATAAATATCTGTTGATTTTCTCAACAAACGATCTGTTGCCTGGCCGGTGTCTTCTATTGTTACTTAAGTAAACGAATTATTCAGTGTCAAAAAGGGTAACTATCTATAGAATAATTAGACAAGGGGGTAAGTGCAGTTCAGATTTCCTTTAGAAACAAGGATAGAGACTAAAGACAAAATATGGAGTCGAACAACAAAGTGGAATTTATCCATATTATAATGGAGAGTTCATAAGGGTAGGGATGAATATTAAAGTAAAATTATAAAACAGACAAAATATCTTAATAGATCCAGGAACTTAATAGTGAGTTCAACTCAGTCAGTGAGTGGAAATCAAAATTGAGAAGAATAGTACACAACAGCAGAAAACACAAAAGCACATGAGGAGATGCCACAGCTAGTTCACGAGGATTAGCTGGCGTAGGGATAGCTTTGAGTACTAGGGCAGAAAATACACTGCTTGACTGGATCCCGGTAGATAGCCGAATGTGTGCTGTCCGTCTGAACGGGTCAGTAGAAAGGAGGAAGGACTGCACTACTCGCCGATGCCTTTTCGTAATCTCCGCCTACGCCCCCACTGACTGCAGTTCGGATGAAACGAAGGATGAGTTCTACCAAAAGCTGTCTAGTTTGGTGCGAAAGGCTAAACGCTCAGACAAAGTCGTTCTAGCTGGTGACTTTAACGCTCAAGTAGGGAAATTGTGTCAATCTGAGAAGGATGTCGGTGGCACCTATGGAGTTCCGTGCCAGCGAACCGACAACGGTGACCGTCTCCTACAGTTCTGATCTGATAATCATTTGTTTCTTGTGAGCACTAACTTCAAACACAAGGAGAGACACTGTTTGACTTGGAGACCCCCTTCATCAAACCAACGCTGGACACAAATAGACCACATAGCAATAAGCTATCGTTGGCGTGGGTCGGTAGGAGATTGTCGCTCCTTCTGGAACACGTGTGTAGATACCGACCATGCACTGGTCCGCGCTCGGGTGTGCTTACGACTGAACGGACGTAGGAAACAGCTGGCGGTAAAACCATCACGTCCCCAGCTCGATCAGGAAACTAAATCCGTATTTCAGGAAGAACTAGCTAAACAGATATCTGAGTTCGACAGCTATGCTCACCCTGAAGATGCTTGGAAAAATATCCAGGCAGCCATAGATACAGCTGTAAAATCTGTGAATAAGTTAAACCCAAAGGTGAGTAAAAACCACTGAATCTCCACCGCCTCATCCGAACTGATAGATGCTAGAAGACTTATTCCGGCGAGCTCCGAATTCAATGAGGAGCGAAAGCTGCACAAAAGGAAACTTACGGAAAGTCTCCGCAAGGACCGTGAACAGTGGTGGCTGACAAAAGCCAAAGAGATGGAGAAAGCTTTGAGGATAGGCAACTCTTTAGACTCATCAGGGAAACGGGTGGGAGAAAACAAATCATCAGTGAAACAATCTCGGAAAAAAGTGGCACTATAATTAGCTCCCAGTATAGACGACTGGATCGTTGGAAAGAGCATTATGAGGAAGGACTGATAGTGGTAGTGGTATGAAGAGCGCGATTCAAAATTGGGGACCCCTTTGGATGTGAAGGTTAACTGGTTAAGCCTTTGTATTGTTTAAGGATTTTTCTATCCATCTCATGATCTGTTTTTGTTTATATGTATGTATATAAGCCACTATCTCTTTTTGTAAAGAAATTTCTTCCCCCTCCAGAAGTAATTTCACAGCTGTTCCCCTTTTTTTCCTTTCTTCTTATTTTCTATGTCTAGTGAAGTTCAATATGTGATATTAAGTAATATAGCCAGTTTAACAATTGAACATCGTAATCTCTTTGAACCGTATCTACGTACATTTTTCGTCTATTCAACTGATTCACTACAAGTGAAATTATTAAAGTTGGAAATTCTTAGCAGTTTAATCACTGAAACATCAAGTTCTGTTATTCTACGTGAATTTCAGGTGAGTTTCATGTAGTTGTTGTTGTTGCTCTTGTTGTTCTTGTTCTTATTTTTGTGTCTACTTCATTTTACCATTCTTACCATTCATTCCTAACGTTCCGGATGGGGGAACATATCCCCAGTGCCCTTGACTCTCTGATGTCACTTTCTGAACTGGTCCCATGACTCTGCATATGCTTCTGTTTCCTTCCTCCTGACATGATCCGCCCTATATCGCTCTCTGATCAGCGCCTATACAGGTTGTACTTAAAAATTTCCAACACCTCCCTGAATGGGATATAGACACAGGTCCTCCATCCCTAACTCAGGTTACTAAAGCTGTCACTAATCTGAAACAAGGCAAAGCAGCAGGACCTGATGGAATGACTCCAGAAGTGTTTAAGTACGGTGGAGACAGTTTACTGTTTGCATTAACTGAGGTACTAGGAAGCGTCTGGGAATCAGAAGAAGTCTCATCGGGTTGGTGTAAGTCACTGATTATCCCGATATACACGAAGGGAGACAAGTCTTCCTGTGATAATCACAGAGGGATTAGCTTGACTAATATAGTATCTAAAGTCTTAGGCTCAATAATCATGCGTAAACTGAGTGGTGCTCGGGAGGCACAAACACGAGAGAGCCGGGCAGGCTTTAGACCAGGAAGAGGGTGTATTGATCATATCTTCACCCTCCGACAGATTCTGGAACATAGGCACTCCTACCGGCGTCCAA